ATCGCACCGCGAACCCAACACTCGTCTTCCTTCTCCCTTGACCCGCGCAGCGCAGGCGGATCTCATCCCATCCAAGGCAGGCAGGCAGGCAGGTCAGGCAACTCGTCCCCTCCCCTCCCGTCCCGAATCTCCTCCCCTCGTTTGTTTCCTTGCTTGTGCCCCGAACGATCTCCGCCACAAGCCCGCCGGCCCGGGCCCGGGCGAGGTTTCCACTGGCGCGGAGGAACCGAGGCGGCACCGTCGGCGAGGCAGGCAGTAGCTAGATACTCTCGGTGGGCGGGCCGCGTCGCCGGACGGATTTTCTGGTCCTCGGCGCTCGGTGCGTGTTCCTAGTCCTAGTCCTAGGGGCGGGCGGGGGCCTGAAGCTGAGCCACGCACGCGACGCGGTGGCTGGCTCAGATCCACGGGAGGCCGCGAGAGTTGACCGAGTAACGGCAGGGAATCTCGCGCCGGGACGCTGGACTCGACGGGCCACCCAAGCGGGAATCGGCGGTGGCAGTTGAATTGCCCGGCACAGCACGCTGACCTGATTGCCGGCTGGACGGACCGCCGGCACGCACTCTCTTGCCCTGGGCTTCCACTCCATCATCCTCTATTCTGTACTACTACTAGCAGCTCTAGTACAAGATGCATGGTGGGTGGCCTGTTTATCTACTAGTATTTCCTTTTCCGTTTGTTTTTCTGCATGATCGGTTATGCCGAGGCCGTGCTGTCTGATGCGGGAGGCTAATTGTACTGTGTTTTGTGCACTTTGGGTACTGGCAGTACCATGTTCCTGAGCAGCTAGCATAATAGGATCTACTGTCTTGGCCTCATGGGACATGGCTGATTGCCCCGTAATCTGAATTACGTTTCAGCACACGATCGCTTCATTTATTGTGTTCGTCTTAGGCAATCACTGTGATTTGCTCGGCCACACGGGCGTGCTGTTCGGTTCTGGTTTCCTGCCCAACTGTACTGCTGTACACAATGATAGAATTAGCTGCAACTTGATTATGGGTTTAATTTGTCATCTCAACCGCATGTTGTGCCGTCCGCCCTGTCGCATCTACTCTGGTTGACATTTGTAACTGTGTATTCAGTTATTCGTTGGCTGCTTTGGGATAAATTTCTCAAACTTTTGCCCACTGCAAACAATTGCTCAAGAGTGAAGCTTATTCTTTCGTCTAGTTCATATTAGCATGATTATTTGTTCTACAAAGGCAGGCTTTTAACCTTTTCAGTCAAACATATGCATGAATTACTTGACACTGTTCTGCTCTGTACCTGACGTGTTTGGTGCATCTCTTTTCAGGTACAAGATGGCTCTCACCAGAATTGGTCTTGCTGGCCTCGCCGTCATGGGGCAGAACCTCGCCCTCAACATTGCAGAGAAAGGCTTCCCCATCTCTGTCTACAACAGGACCACCTCCAAGGTCGATGAGACTGTCCAGCGCGCCAAGCTAGAAGGAAACCTTCCTCTCTACGGTTTCCATGACCCTGCATCCTTCGTCAACTCCATTCAGAAGCCACGTGTCGTCATCATGCTTGTCAAGGCCGGCGCACCTGTTGACCAGACCATTGCGACGCTCGCAGCTCACCTGGAGCAGGGCGACTGCATCGTTGACGGAGGAAACGAGTGGTATGAGAACACGAAAAGGAGGGAGAAGGCGATGGAGGAGCGTGGGCTCCTCTACCTCGGGATGGGTGTTTCCGGAGGAGAGGAGGGTGCCCGCCATGGCCCCTCCATGATGCCTGGAGGCTCATTGGAGGCATAACAGTACATTGAAGACATTCTTCTCAAGGTGTCTGCTCAGATCCCTGACAGCGGCCCCTGTGTCACATACATTGGGAATGGTGGATCCGGAAACTTTGTCAAGATGGTTCACAATGGCATTGAGTACGGTGACATGCAGCTGATCGCTGAGGCGTATGACGTTCTCAAGTCGGTTGGCAAGCTTACAAACGGTGAGCTGCAGCAGGTTTTTGCCGAGTGGAACAAGGGTGAGCTCCTCAGTTTCTTGGTCGAGATCACTGCTGATATATTCAGCATCAAGGATGACCAGGGTGAAGGCTACTTGGTCGACAAGGTCCTGGACAAGACCGGGATGAAGGGAACCGGGAAGTGGACGGTGCAGCAGGCTGCTGAGCTCTCTGTGGCTGCTCCTACCATTGAGGCGTCCTTGGATTCCAGGTTCCTCAGCGGACTCAAGGATGAGCGTGTCGCGGCTTCCAAGATCTTCCAGGGCGACTACTCCAGTGGCGAAACTGTGGACAAGGCACAGCTGATCGAGGATGTGAGGAAAGCCCTCTATGCCTCCAAGATCTGCAGCTACGCCCAGGGCATGAACATCATCAAGGCCAAGAGCACGGAGAAGGGATGGGGCCTCAACCTCGGCGAGCTGGCCAGGATCTGGAAGGGCGGGTGCATCATCCGCGCCAGCTTCCTCGACCGCATCAAGAAGGCCTATGACAGGAACGGTGAGCTCGCCAACCTCCTGATCGACCCTGAGTTCGCGCAGGAGATCATGGACAGGCAAGCCGCATGGAGGAGGGTTGTCTGCCTCGCCATCAACAACGGGGTCAGCACCCCTGGCATGTCCACGAGTCTGGCCTACTTCGACTCCTACCGGAGGGACAGGCAATTTTTTCTGGTTCAGGTACTTTTTTCAAATTCGTGAACTTTTTAAAATTCCAGTTACTTTTTCCCTATTCGTGTAATTTTTCAAATTTGGAAAAAGTTCCTGGATTAAAAAAAAACACGAACTTGGAAAAAGCAGGCGGTTTCGAAAAAAAGTAAACGAACATGAAAAAAGTACACAGATCTGAAAAAATGTACGGGAATTTGAAAAGGTGTGTGGGTTTGAAAAAATTATGCAAACTTGTTAAAAGTACTCGAACTTGTAAAATTTACGTGAACTTGTAAAAACTATGAGAAATTTAAAAAACTGACGGATTTGAAAAAGTACACGAATGTGAAAAAAGTATGGGGCCTTGAAGAAAGTACGCGGATTTGAAAAAAAGTATGTAAATTTCAAAAAAGTTCACTGATTTAAAAAGAATATGTGAATTTGAGTCAGGACCGCTCAAAACCGGGGTGAGTTTGCAGTAAAACCGGTCAAAACCAAGACCAGGGGACGAACCTTGTCCGGTTTCAATAATTGGGTGTGTGAATTGTTCGGTTTCGTAGTTGGGGGCTAAATCTAGACTGCACCAAAAATCAAGGGGCAAAAGGTATACTTTTCTCTTTTGATAAAGCTTAAGTTTGAGGCGGTCTTTTGAAAATGTGTCGGGCCAAATAAGTTGAGCTCCCTAATGGGGCAGGAGTGGATTTTTATTCTCGATGACCAGTCTGGATTTTTATTCTCGATGACCAGTCTGGTGATAAAATTCCTTTTATCAATGAGCAAATGAGATGAAGCAAAGCTTTTGCCTCGTTTAGAAAATCTTGGTCTGTGGTGACATGCTTATCTTAGTACTAAGGATGATTATTTGTTAGTAACATTATGTATGCCAACGAGCCTCCCTCTCCTTGTGCTGTAAAAAGAAATTTTACCGTGTGAAAACTGATGGCTTTTGGGGACACGAAGAATGTGAGGCAGGTCGTGCGAGGAGACGCCCAAGTTGACCAGCTGGAGCAGGTCAGGCAGGTAGACAATGAGAAGCAATACGTCAGCGAACCTCTCGATATATATCATTGTTTGAACGTGTAGAGGTGATGTGTTGGTCCGTCACCACCGACGACTTCACAGGAGAAATTGATCCATTAGACGAACCAAACTTTGGGTAGGTACACACGATTATTAAAAGGTGCAACTCTAGAACAAATCAGGGAAGTGTTGCATTGAATAAAATACAGATGTTCAATCTGAGTGGAATGAAAAAGAAAAAACATAATGACAGTGTCATTAGCAGAAAATCCGAGAGAATTGATCCATCACAATAAAAGTAGTGGTTTTTTTTACTGATGACACCGCTTTTGAGGTGTTTTGCATTTCACTTGTTCAATCTGAATGAAGACCTAAAAATCCATGCCCGACTTATAAACCCAACCGGAGATAATAGTTAGAGCCGGTTTGTGTGCTGGACTAGGGGCTTGTATCGTGAGAAAAAGAGAAAAAAATGATGCGCGCGCGTGTGTGTGTGTTTGTATTTTTTTCATGTGACTAATCTGTAGGCGAATCCCAACATGCTCTATAGAAGCAAGTTTTTTCACATTCAGGTGAAATCGTCAAACGAGGTAGTATTACTTTACAAAATGCTTCCGCAAGTCCCAATCTCTTCTCCCTAGTTTAACCGGCACGTCACGTAGTGTCACTCGCTGAAAACCTTAAACTTATGGATTCTTTTTTTTTTAAGTTTAAGAATATGTTAAACTTATGGATTCTACCTAAACCACTCCCGCGGCATCTTCCACGACGTGCACTACATAAGCGTCACTGTCACTTGCACGTCCCAAGCGTTTTCCACCAACAGTGATCAGTCTCTCTTGTTGATTGATTAGCCTGATTGATAACAAAAGCTGCATCAGCATTTAGTATCATCTCTCACCCTTGTCGTGGCAAGTTGCGATCTAGGAGTAGATTGCATGGCTGGCAGTGGTACGGTTTACACGCATGGTTTGATTTGCCATGTTTACAGTACAGTTTGTCGAAAGTACAGTAATAATTTTTTGTAGCCCATGCCCCATCAACAATGCAAAGTGCTTACGTAGGTGCTTAGAAAAACAAGCCGATTTTTTCTTAAACACCGGAAAACATGCAACCGCTATTTCTATATACACTACTTAAAAAAAACAGTGTTATTTTTCGTGCTGGCAGAACACCATTCTACCTTCTACCATCCTTCATCTGCCCCTCCTCCCGTACATTCTCCTCACACGTAAAGAACCAACGGACAGGGCCGGGCCGGCCGGCCCTGGCATCCTAGAGGCCCTTGTGCGAGCTTCGTATAATGGGCCCTTATAATTGACTCAATTTTTCTTTCAGTAAAGGACGTAGCACCGTTTTTAGATTCAATTAATTGATTTACATGTTAGCTCCTTTTACTTTTCTCACAACTTGATGATAATTGCATTTTTGAAACATTCTTACAAAAAAAAGGAGAGAGCACCCGAGTTCTTGAATCTTGGTTTTGGAGTAAATTAGAAGAAATTCTACGCTCCATCTATCCAATAATCAAAGTTCATGCAACGACACAACCTGCTGAATTTACATGACTACAATTTGTGCAAAAAAAAGAGGAATCGAGTAGGTTAAACATCAGCAATGGTTCATCTCATGAATTTGACTATTATGTCAACTGATCATAACAGAAATAAGTAGACAAAGATCAAGGAATTATGATCTAAAAATTACCTGAATCAGCAAAGCCCTTTGTTGCTTCGCTTCAACAATGCCTGGACTTCACGTCTGCATCGCTTGCCCTCACACACTGACCACATCTAACTGACAATGGACGGCCATGCTGCTCTCGCGTTCTTCCCAGGGGCCCAGGACCAGAGTGTGTCGCCGGCTGGCCTCCATCCGTCGGGTTTCTTGGGGCTGTTTATATATATGAGAAAACAGTATAGTTTTCCCCCTCAAATCCACATTGATGGATCCATAACCCCCTGAACTCCAATACCATATAATTTACCCCTTTAAATTGTCAAGACCGGATAAATCAAGCCCCATAGTGGTTTTTTCTTTTCTTTTCTTTTCTTTTCTTTTGAGAATCATGAGCAGAGGCCAAATAGGACCCGCCTTCCCTCCGCCCCCGTCAGCGCTAGCTTTGGTTCCCACTCGCGTCAGAGACCGTAAACCTACCCACCCACCCACCCCCTTTTTTTTGATGGTAGTGCGGTGCGCGCTTGGGAGTTGGGAGCCGCCAGGCCCGGGCCCACCCGTCGGCCAACGCTATTCTTCTATTTAAGCAGGCGCGAGGGGGGTTGCAGAGGGGTAGGTGGTCGCTCTCGCATCGCCCTTGCTCTAGACCCACGCAGATCTCATCCAAGGCAGGCGCAGGTCAGGCAATTCCCCTCTCCCCCTCCCCCGAATCTCCTCCCCATCGTTTGCTTCTTTGCTTGAGCCCCGCCCCCGCAGCCCGGTCCCGGTCCCGGTCGAGGTTTCCGGCGGGGCGGGCGGAAGATCCGAGGCGATACCGGCGAGGTGTAGCTAGTTCTAGGCAGATGGGTCCACGAGTTTCCTGGTTTACGCCTCAGATTAGATCCACGGGATGGGGTGGGACTTTGGGAGGGAGCAGTCCAGTTGACCAACTAGTGGCGTGGCAGGGAATCCGGCGGCGCTGATTGCGTCCCAAGTCTGCTCAAACACTAGATTAGATTGTACCACGAGCCAGCGCTAGTTGATTTCCTCGGCAGTTCGTGTGCCGGACGGACGTACAGCCAGCCAACACTAGTTGCCCTGCGCTTCTACCCGTATGTACCGTATGGCCAAGGTTGTGTGCCGTGGATCATCAGGTGTTGGTAGTGATAGCCGTGGTCGAGGATGCAAGACAGCCTGTTTACTCTCACGCCATAACTCTGATTCTTTCTTTTTTGTTATATATATATATATATATTTTGTATGGTCGATGATGCTGAAACCATGCCGTCTGATGCTGGATGGTAGCTGCGCTGTGTTTTGTGAATGTTGCTAGTGCTCCTGAGCAGCCCCGACTGCAGATTATGTTTCAGCATACTGTCGGTTTCTTGAGTCATCTTAAGCAACAATCCATGTGCGTCGCTCAATCACGCGGGCGGGTGCTGCTGTTCGATTCTGATCTTCTGCTGCCTCAACTATGTTGCTCTACACCATGATACAATTAGCTGCAAGTTGATTACGGATTTAATCTGTCATCTCAATCCCATGCCGTGCTGTCCGCCCTGTCGCATCTATCCTGAGGACATCGCGTCAATTCTGATTGACGTTGTAACCTCATATTCAGTTATTCACTGGTCGCTTTCTGGATTATTAATTTCCTTCAACTTTTGTTCGCTGCAAACAATTGTTCGGAATGAATCTTGTTCTTGCGTCTAGTTCATATGCATCATCATTTGTTCTGTAAAGCCAGACTTTTAACCTATCGAGTCAGATTTGCATAAATTACTTGACACTGTTCTCTTCTGTGCGTGACGTGTTTGCTGCATCTCTTTTCAGGTACAAGATGGCTCTCACCAGAATTGGTCTTGCCGGCCTCGCCGTCATGGGCCAGAACCTTGCCCTCAACATTGCAGAGAAAGGGTTCCCCATCTCTGTCTACAACAGGACCACCTCCAAGGTCGATGAGACTGTTCAGCGCGCCAAGCTAGAAGGAAACCTTCCTCTCTACGGTTTCCATGACCCTGCATCCTTCGTCAACTCCATTCAGAAACCACGTGTCGTCATCATGCTTGTCAAGGCCGGTGCTCCTGTTGACCAGACCATCGCAACGCTCGCAGCACACCTGGAGCAGGGCGACTGCATCGTTGATGGAGGAAACGAGTGGTACGAGAACACGGAAAGGAGGGAGAAGGCGATGGAGGAGCGTGGACTCCTCTACCTCGGGATGGGTGTTTCCGGAGGAGAGGAGGGTGCCCGCCATGGCCCCTCCATGATGCCTGGAGGCTCATTGGAGGCATACCAGTACATTGAAGACATTCTTCTCAAGGTGTCTGCTTAGGTCCCTGACAGCGGCCCGTGCGTCACATACATTGGGAAGGGTGGATCCGGAAACTTTGTCAAGATGGTTCACAATGGCATTGAGTACGGTGACATGCAACTCATTGCTGAGGCGTACGACGTTCTCAAGTCGGTTGGGAAGCTCACAAACGGTGAGCTGCAGCAGGTTTTCGCGGAGTGGAACAAGGGTGAACTCCTCAGTTTCTTGGTTGAGATCACTGCTGATATCTTCAGCATCAAGGATGACCAGGGTGAGGGCTACTTGGTCGACAAGGTCCTGGACAAGACCGGGATGAAGGGAACCGGGAAGTGGACAGTGCAGCAAGCTGCTGAGCTCTCTGTGGCTGCTCCTACCATTGAGGCGTCCTTGGATTCCAGGTTCCTCAGCGGGCTGAAGGATGAGCGTGTCGCGGCTTCCAAGATCTTCCAGGGTGACTACTCCAGTGGTGAAACTGTCGACAAGGCACAGCTGATCGAGGATGTGAGGAAGGCCCTCTACGCCTCCAAGATCTGCAGCTACGCCCAAGGCATGAACATCATCAAGGCCAAGAGCACGGAGAAGGGATGGGGCCTCAATCTCGGCGAGCTGGCCAGGATCTGGAAGGGCGGGTGCATCATCCGCGCCAGCTTCCTGGACCGCATCAAGAAGGCGTATGACAGGAACGGTGAGCTCGCCAACCTTCTCATCGACCCCGAGTTCGCGCAGGAGATCATGGACAGGCAAGCTGCATGGAGGAGGGTTGTCTGCCTCGCCATCAACAACGGCGTCAGCACCCCTGGCATGTCCGCGAGTCTGGCCTACTTCGACTCCTACCGGAGGGACAGGCTCCCTGCCAACCTCGTCCAGGCCCAGAGGGACTACTTCGGGGCGCACACCTACGAGAGGGTTGACATGCCCGGCTCCTTCCACACCGAGTGGTACAAGATTGCCAACTCAAAGATCTAAGATGCTGCTGCTGCTCTACCAAGAGACGGTCCATCAGGTTTCGTCTTTCCGGTATCCTTTGTTGCTGCCAGTCATGAGTCCTTTTCCTGTAGGGGAGGAACCGCCGTTTAATTTTTATTATTTGAGTAACGAGTCCTGTATTTATTTTCTACAAGGAGATCACATATTCTCTCCAGTCTCCGCTACTTCCATGTGATTGATCAACCCTGGAGGGAAGACATTGCCATTCTGAATTAGTTTGAATAAAATGTGTTTTTACCTACCTGTGTTTGATAGCCAGTGTTCCTGCTTTCTCAAGGCTGCTTTACTTGTTGCTTGTTTGTTGTGTCATATGATTCTCACAAAATTTTGTTGCTATCTCGTGTCTATGGTAGCATGTGACAGTCCTTTCCTTTTTGTTTGGAAGATAGGCCATGTTTGCCTACCCTGTTTATGGTTTTTTTGGGTACTGGATCAGGTATGGTACAGTTCTTGTGTTACATAGTTGAGTTGTGACACTGTCAAAAGAAAGTTCCAACTGTGAACATAAGTAATCATGAAAGGTGTGGTACTACTGGCCTCTATGTAGTTCAAAGATGAGTCAGTTTTGTCGGAAGTTTGTAAGAAATCAGCTCATTTCGATAAAATATTACATTGAGTTTCATCTGAGATCGACCCATTTATATTATGAGGCCCTGTTTGTTTGGGCTTTTGCTTCCGCTTTTGCAGCTTTGTCACTTTGACCAAAAAGCTATAAAAGCTCCTAAATAGGTGCTTCAAAAACCATAAAAGCTCCAAAAGCACCCATTTAGAAGCTTTTATAACTTTTTGGCCAAAATGAAAAAGCTGCAAAAGCAAAAGCTCAAACAAACAGGGCCTGAACCAATTAACATCCCTCATCCATTTATATTCTGAACCAACTTCCATCCCGCATCCTGTAGATGCTGGACTCAACTGTCTGTACTTGATTGCCAATCATCAGCGCTTAGTCTGACTAGGGAGTCTCCTGGTGCGTGTCGTGCAAAGACAGCTCTTCTTTGCAGTGCGTAAACCGAGTTTGCTACTCTGCTTCCGGTATTGTTTCCTACTACTCCCTCCGTCCGGGAAAAGTTGTCCGCGACTTAGTTCAACTCTAATTTTGCAAAAAACCTCTTCTACGTCGTAAACTGTTGCAAATCAGCCCCCCCTCAGCTTCTTCCTCCTTCCTCCGTCGCCCGATCCATCCACCAAGGAGCCCGACCCCGACTGCAGCTGCTCCTCCAAGGCGACCACCTCGACGGGCGCCTCCTCCTCGTCGCCCTCCTCGCCGGCGCAGGTTCCTCGTGCCTGCGGCAACCCCAGCCGCCGCTCCCCTCTCCCTGACTTCCGCAGGCAGGGCCACGCGGGTCTTCCCAGGTGGCGGGACCTGTTGCTGCCGCTGCCATCCGTCCGCCACCTGCCGCTGCCGTCGCCCGCCACCTACTGCTGCCGCTGCAGCCCGCCCGATCGAGTCCGCGCGGACCTGTTGCTGCTGTTGGCGACTGCATCTGCTGCTGATGTCGGCGACTGCATTGGCTGCAGGTACTTCCTGAACAATGGACTGATTGTGGCTGATTGATCTGAACCTGTGTCAACTGCAGTTTCAGTTACAGTGTGAATTGCATTATCAGCACACTTATGTAAGCATTGTACTTTGTGAAATCTTTGCTGTTCTTTGTGAAATCTTTGCTGTTCCATCAGAGTACTGTACCTGAAAATTAGTGAAGTTGATTTACACCAAGAGTACTCCAAAATTGTACTGTAAGGAGTTGCTCCTTGTGCTGCTGCTGCTCCTCCTGTTCCACCATCAATGGAGTTAAATGGATGTAAAATTGACAGTTCTTGATTAAAAAAGTGTATCAAGAGGCCACAAAAATTGTAAACTTCTCTGAAACATGAAAATTTTGGACTGATAATGAATCTGGCCATGTTTGAGGTGTTTTGACAACTGAATTTGGCCATGTTTTGACACTGAATTTAAATGATGTAATATGCATATTACAAGAAGTTTCATAAAACAAATAAAAGTGCTTGTGAGGACAAGCTGTGTTCAATCAACTTGATGTTCAGAACCTGTCATTTTCTATGTGCTTGCGAGGACAAGCTGTGTTGATCAGTGCTAGGATGCTAACACCACAAGAAAGCATGCATGCCATGTTCAGGCTTCTTTTTCTTAGTGCATATAGAAGTGGCAACTAATCACCACAAAATGGAGTGCATAGGTTCAGACTTGAAGCATGCATTTTCCATACATAGGTTCAGACTTGAAGCACGAAAATGTACTCCTGTAGGTTAGCAGGAAGAGCTTACAGATGTTCCATATGGCAAGGGTGACTTGACGCCATTACGAAAACCTCGCCGTACATCCACTCGGCGCCGCACAGCCTCCCTGAGAGCAGTGAGTGAGCGAGTGGCATCAGTTAGTGAGCTCAAAACCAGTTCAGTCAGTAGCAGTAGCAGGATGGAGCAGTAGAGTGAGTGTGACATCACTTGATGCACTAATTCAGTCAAAAGCAGAGTGAGAGAGGCAAATTCGGTAACCTGCAATGTCCTAGCCCAATCTATATAAAAAAGTGACATCAATTTGTGCAAATCCTAGCAAAATCTATATAAAAAAATTTGACAGCTTCAGAACATCCTAGCACAATCTTTTCATTATCTCTGAATTTCTAAATAGAGTCTACATACCGCAAAAATTTGAGAAAACTACTGAATTATTGTTGTTTAGTCATTGTTTCTACTGTAGTTTTCAGTATTTTGTACAAACTGAAAACTGATTGTGTTAGACTAGGAGTACTTGATTGTGTTAGACTAGGAGTACTTGCTTAATTCATCATGGTTTTCTTTTCACACTAGGAGTACGTGCTCAAATGAACAAGGAGTACTTTTAATTAATTTCAATTAGCTAGAATTATTTGAATTAGCTAGATTTATTCGAATTAATTTGGGATTATTTGAATTAGCTAGATTTATTTGAATGAATTTGGAATTATTTGAAAGCCTAAAAATCAAGCAGAGAGCAGAGCAGTGCAACCTCCTCTGAATGAAAATATCATGTCACTGGAAAGCCCTAAAAAGCAAGCAGGGAGCAGAGCAGTACAAGAGTTGATTGATGTTTCTTCTGTTGAAGTTACCATGTTTCTGTAAGGAATGGCCATCATGTTCCTCTAGTTACCAAAATGAACAAGGAGACTTTTAATCTCTCAGAAGTCATTGAAGCATCTTTTAATAATTTGTAAGGAACATACTTTTTGAAGGGAAGAAGATTGGTTTCATATAAAAGGTTTTCCTGAATAGACTTTTAAGCTCAGGCAGTAGCTCTAGGCAACACTATAATACATAATTTGGCAGGCCTCAAGTAAGAACTGTAGAACTATTTTGTCACCAAACTTAAATAAAATTTGGCTCCATATAAAATTTAAATAAAAGAGCACTTTGGCTCCACATGATAGGAGTATGTAGCTCCATATGATAGGAGTATGTAGTCCAAATAATCATCTTCTTAGTTGAAAGCCTTTAATTCACGTAGTCCTAAAATTTCTACACACAGATTGGACAAGCAATATTCCTAAAATTTCTGCAATTACAGTATATTCGATCAATGCAAATTAAGCACTCATGAAACAAGTCTATTTGGTCAATGCAACTATGTGGTGCTAGCGCCTTTTGTCTTTGTGGTTGGGCACAGTTTGGCACAATCTGGTCATCTGACCAAAATAAAAGGTGGGCAGATGTCTTGAGATGCTGTACCGTATTTTGAATTTCTTGAGATGCTGCAGATGGTAATGGTACATGCTCTTTTAATTACACCTGTATTTGAGGATCCAAACAGCTTTGCCTACGGTTTACACCAGGTCAAATGGTCAAAAAAATTCAGTTTGCTGTTCCATGTAAATATTCAGAGTAATTCACAATCTTTTCTAACATCATATTTTCTGAATATTCAGAGTAATTCAGTTTGCTGTTGGGATTACACTGGCATATGCACCTTGTTCGAAGACAAGATTTGCAAATTCGGTGAACATTCTAAGTCAAGACTGAACATTCAGTGTTAAGTGTTAACACAACACTGGCATATGCACCTTGTTCGAAGACATGATCAGTTTTTAGGAAAGACAAGATTTACTAATTCAGTTTTTAGGGAAGACAAGACTGAACATTTAAACTCTGGAAGCTGGCATTCAGCAAAGACTGAATATACAAATTCAGTTTTTAGGAAAGACAAGATTTACTAATTCGGTGAACACTCAGTCTGAACATTTCTGAATCTACACACACCTTGCTCGAAATTGATTTGCAGGGCATCCTGTTGGTTGTCTCCCTTCATCAACTTTGGGCTGGTCTTCTTCCTGGTGCACACGGTTCAAGCTGGCCCTACTGAACACAGCAATGCAAAGAGCATCAAGCAGTAATAGAGAGCAGAGAATGGAAACCCATGAAAGTGCAGAGTTTAAGCTCTATTCAGCAAATGAAAGTAGCAGTACGAGGCGCTAGGCTGGCTTAAGTAAACATTCGACCTCTCTTGACGAACTCAGGGGCTGGCTCGACGGTCTCGACGGGGGTGGGCAGGAGCGCGAGCCTCCGGCACGCTGCAGCGTCGCACACCTCCTCGAGCACCGTGATCAGCCGGCCCGTAGTGGAGGCGAGCGCGAGATGACGGCGTTGGCGTCGACGAGGGCCACGGCCAGGCCACTCGAGTTGGCGCAGCTGGACACGATTCGGCTCACCGCCTGCGCGGACGATTCCTTGGCCACCGTCTCTCGCCGCGTCGCGGTCGCGCCCCACGCCACGGGGGCTGGGGCGGGGGTGGGAAGGCCGCGTCGCAGCCCGTCGGGCCGAGGGCCGGCCATGCTTCTTCCATCAACGCTAGGAGGGAGGGGGTGGCCGCGAGCAGGAGACGCGGCGGGTGGAAGATGAAACAATTTTTTGGGTGAAAGAGGGAAGATTCGGGAGGCAGGCAAGGGAGGCAGGGGAAGGGAGCGGCGGAGGAGGCAGCTGCGGCG